ATTAACATATTGGAAGTATAAACCTTCATAACTTAGAGACGCATTACTCAAATCAAGAAATATTTTACCAATCAACTACATTTACTTTATGCAGAACCAGTATTGAATGTATTGTCAAAGAGTTCATTTACACTTTAAATGTTCGTGCTATATGGAGCGAGTAAGAGATGATGGCTTTCTGCATCTTCTCCAAAACACACTTTGATCGGGCACCAACAAGCTTCTTCATAGTTTGCTCTAGAGCGATCTTTGACCATCCTCCCAATGCATCAATTATGATATTGCATTGCTGTACCTTGTAACCAGGGTGCTGTCATTTTAACTCCAAGAGTGGTGCACCGTACTTTGTTGCCTTCTCCTCAACTTTCTTTTCACGATTCTCAATCCAGGGACAGCTCATTTCTACTGCCCAAACTTGCTTTGCCTTATGGACCACGAATCTTACATCCACCCTATTGGCTTTGACGTAGGTGTGTTCAGCATACACCGGTACATCCCAGAAGCTTTAGCATCATCCGACTCATAGATTGGTTTTGGAGTCACAGGTGAGTACCAAGGGGGAACACTTTCYACTAATTTAAGATCTTTGCACTTCTCAAAGAATAATATCTTCAGAGCAGCATTGTGTCGGTCCAAGTACTTTGATTGAGCCAGTGTAGAGCATCCTGACAGAACATGTGGAAGGGTCTCTGCTTCTTTACCGCATAGCCTACAACTTACATCTCCCTGGGTTGTTTTGGTCTTGTGTGACGTATACACTTTAGTTGGCAATAGTTGTTCATAGAGCTCCATCATACCAGCAACTGTATGAGTTGGTGCAGTCGTCCAATCTTTCATCCATGTAAAACATGCATCTTGACTAAGTACTTTATCTTTCCAACGCGATGAGAGAAATCGACCATGCCATTTCTCTGCGTTTATCGTCTCCTGTAGCTTGTCAACCAGTGCTCTCTTCAAGTGTTCTTTAATTTTCGTTCCTTCAATTTCTACTTCTGGTCTTCTGGTCGAGGTAAAAGATGGATTTGGATACTTTAGAAGTAACTTTATCTTCAGCTCCTTTGCATATTTGTGTGCTTCAGTTAGTAGTGACGAATGGCCTTCCTCCGCTGCTCTCTCCTCAAACATCTGGACAGTTTTCATCGTAGTGTCTGCATTCTGGTAGAGCTTTACGGCAGCTCTTATCTTTGTAAGCTTGTACTCGTATTCGACGGATCTCAGGCCACGTCCTCCCTTGTGTCTAGGTAGGTACATAACAGCTGTTGAAATCAGTGGATGTTTCCCTCCGTTTTCATGAATGATCTTTCTTTTCTCTCTCAATCGCTCTCAGCTCGGTGATAGGCCAATGTTGGTTCCACATCAGGTAGTTAAGCACGGGAAGTGCGAATTGATTAGTAGCTATTACTCGGTTGGCATCGGAGAGAGGGCTAGACCAAATTACAGATAGTCTTTGAAGGTAAACCTTTGCTGCACATGCAAGAGCTGACTTCTCATCCTGTTTCACAGTTTCACATACGCCGAGAAACTTGTAGCTTGAATCTTCCTTGATACCTTCAACAACTGTCGTCTGATCAAGTTTAATACCTGCTGCATCGTACTCTTGAACACCTTTCTTGACATGAATAGTATTGCACTTCTTCGGGTTCCACTGCAATCCAATATCTCCCATTGCTGTATTTGTAGATCGTAGAACTGTGTTCAGCTTTGTTTGAGATGAAGCAAAAACCTTGAGGTCATCAATATATAGTAGACGGGTTATCTTCGTGCCAATTGGTTTGGATATATTTATTATTATTATTATTATTATTATTGTTATTGTTATTATTATTGTTGTTGTTGTTGTTGAGAGATGCTACTTTTTAAAAAAGCTAAAGAATGTTCAAAAACATTTACAAA